TGGTGCTAATGGTGCTGATGATGATGAGGATGCTGATGCTGATGATACTGATGGTGATGATGCTGCTGATGATGATGGTGATGATGATGATGATGATGATGATGATGATGACGTTGGTGATAGTGGTGATGCAGTTGAGGACAAGGAACATGATGACGATACAGGTCGTGATGATGGTTTGACTATTGTAGTGCTGATAGTGGCAGTGATAAGGATGCTCATTGCGATTGCGGTAATGGTACTGACGATGCTGATGATTGTGTTGGTGATGACAATGTTGACGACGATGATGACGATGATAGTGTCTATGAATGATGATGGTGATGATGGCGGTGGTTGAGTAATGATGGTGATGGTGCTGTTGTTGCAGCTGCTGCTGCTGTTGATTCTGATGATGATGACGATGACGACGACTACGACGCAGACGACGCAGACGACGACGAGGACAACGACGACGACGACGCCGACGCACGCCGACGACGGCGCCAACGACGACGACGAAGAGCATTATGATGCTGATAGTGATGATGATGATGCTGCTAGTGATAATGCTGATGTTTTTTTTTTTTGGGGGGGGGGGGGGGGTTGTTGTGTTTTTTGTTTTAAAAGATGAAGTGATGATGACGATGAGGATGCTGATATGACGATGATGATGCTGATGCTGCTGATGATGATGATGGTGATGGTGATGATGCTGATGATGATGATGATGCTGATGATGATGATGATGATGATGATGTGATGATGATGACGATGATGATGATGAGATGATGAGGATGAGGATGATGAGGATGATGAGGATGATGAGGATGATGATGATGATGATGCTGATGATGATGATGATGATGATGATGATGATGCTGATGCTGATGCTGATGATGATGATGATGAGATGATGATGATGATGATGAGATGATGATGATGATGATGATGATGATGATGATGATGATGATGATGATGATGATGATGATGATGATGATGATGATGATGATGATGATGATGATGATGATGATGATGATGATGATGATGATGATGATGATGATGATGATGATGATGATGATGATGATGATGATGATGATGATGATGATGATGATGATGATGATGATGATGATGCTGATGATGATGATGATTATTGTGGTGGTGGTGATGATGACGGACGAGGAGGAGGATGAGGAGGATGATGAGGAGGAGGAGGAGGAGGAGGGCGAAGGAGGAGGAGGCGGAGGAGGAGAGAATGGTCTGTGTGATTTCGGCAATGGGCTTCGCCGCCGATCCAGAGTCTTGCGCAGCGAGCGAGCGAGGAGGAGAGTGTGCCAGCGAGGTGGAGGGCGAGGACTTCACCCAGGTGACGTATGCCAGGACGCTCCGCGACCCACGGCCCAGCGTCCCCATACGGCCCCAGCGCGCTTTGGTGGCGTCGGGCGCTCTGCTCTTAGGTGCGCGATCGTAGTCGTCTGTGCGATCGTCGGACACACTGTAGCTCCAGGGCATGCTCGCTTGGGAAATCCGCTGAGAGTAGCTGCCCGGATCCCTCCTGAAGCTCAGGTCCCACCTCGTTTCATCCCGCAGGCCGCGAGGCAGATCCGTGAAGCAATGCCCCGTGGGCCTCCAGGGGTGCGTGTCCACTAGAGTTTCGACGGGAATCCGGCCGTGGCGACGCGAACGTTCCATTGAACAACGTCCTAAGACTTCTAGCCTCTATCGTCGATCCTCGACTTCCGACGACCTCTTCGGGCGTTTTGGAGCCCTGCAGGTTCGTCGTGGGCCCGTCTGGGCCGTCTTGGATCTCTCGGGGCTGGCTCGGGGGCGTTTCGACGGAGAACGCCCTTAGAAGTCTTCTGGGGAAAATCTTCTCGATACAGCCGTTGCAGAAGTTGCTGCGTTCAGGGTGCTCTGGGTTTCCCCTCAGGTGCACCTCGCGCGCGGGTTTTCAGGGTTGGGTTTCTTGCGGCCGCGCCCGCACTGTAGGCGGCGCGCCTGGGGGGAAGTCAGAAGGAGAAAGCCTTCTCAGAGGGGTCGGAAGTCCCCCGGCCTTCCGAGAGGTTTCTTAAGCTTGTCCGAAGGCGCAGGAGACCTCTCAGAAGGCGGGAGGCCTTCTGAGAAGCCCCGCCGCCTTTGAGAAGGCTTTCTTCTTCCCACTTCCCCCCTCGCTCGCCGCCGGCACCCTCCACCCGGCGACTCGTCAGCCCAGCCCGATTGTCGCAGAGCTGCCCTCCCGCGCACCACGGGCGGCGGCCGCAGCGGGTGGGAGCGCCAGCAGGTCTCGGCGAAAACTGTGTCGGGGAGGCCCGCGGTTGGTTGTATCCAAGCCTGGGGCGTAGCAGCGCGGGTGCTTCCCCATCGGGTGGTGCACCCATCCGTTCTTACAGTTGTGAGCGCGTGCCGCTCTGAGAGCGGGCCAGTGGATTTCGGCAAGACGTGGCTGCAGATGCCGCGCGGCGAGCTCATCGACCCCGACACGGAAATGGTGGTGGGGGCCTTCAGCATGGAGACGCTGCAGGACGGCTAACCTTTGCCCCAACACCGTGGCAAGAAATGATCATATTGTGGGCGGTGATTCTGACAACGCTGGGGGGTTGTTGTCGCGTTTCGTGGTAGGTGTGATTCTGGTAATGCCATGGCCCACACGCCTGCTGTGCCGTACATGTATACCTCTCTCTTGTTTTCTTCTGCTGCTCGTCTGATTTGGCGATTCGGACAATTCTCCCTGTGTATCGACTCTGACTCGTCGAAGTATACGTGCTGTCATTGTAACGGCGGTGAAGAAAGAGATCAGGGTCAACCTGGTTGTGAAGCTGGTGACGGGCATGTGTACCTAGCCACCTAGCCCGACCTCCCGCCTCCCGCCCCGGGTCGCGGGGTGGGTCGCGGGGTGGGTCGCGGATGGGTCTCGGTGTGTCGCGGGTGGGTCGCGGGCGCGGTTTGGGTCGCGGGTGGGTCGCAGGTTCTCCACCTGGAGCGAATGCAAAAGACACCCGCTGCAGGCGCCGAAAATTTTGGGTGCGTCGGGGGGTGGGTCGCGGGTGGGTCGCGGATGGGTCGCGGTGGGTCGCGGTGGGTCGGGTGGGGCGGGGGTCGCGGTCGCGGGGTCGCCGGTGGGTCGCTCGGTGGGTCGCCGGGGGGGTCTTGGGGTGGGTCGCGGGCGGGTGTCGGGGTGGGTCGCGGGTGGGTCGCGGGGTGGGTCGCGGGTGGGTCGCGGGGTGGGTCGCGGGTGGGTCGCGGGGTGGGTCGCGGGTGGGTCGCGGGTGGTTCGTGGGGTGGGTCGCGGGTGGGTCGCGGGGCGGGTCGCGGGTGGGACGACGACACCAACAAACAACAAACAACAAACAACAAACAACAAACAACAAACAACACACAACACACAACAAACAACAAACAACAAACAACAAACAACAAACAACCAACAACCAACAACAACAACAACACAATAATAGTAATAATAGTAATACTAGTATTAATAATAGTATTGAAACTAGTAATAATAATACTACTACTAATAATAATAATATTAATAATAATAATGATGATAATAATAATATTCATAATAATAATAATAACAATACTAGTAATAATAACAACAACAACATTAATAATAACAACAACAACAATAATCCGCATCGCGGAATTCCACTTCAGCCGCGCATCCAGGGACAGTGAATGACCGTTCGGTTCAGCCCCCTCACTCTGATTGTGCATTTTTTGAAAGCAATAGGCGCCTCCCTGGCCATTTTTTGAACGCATTTTTCTCGGGTGTTTTTGGTGCGACAGGTATGCAACATTTAGACAAGCAGTCTGCGAAACATGCGCGCGCCGAATCGGTGGGCGTCTCGCCTATTTTGGCCGCCTCATTTTTACCTTTTTTCAAATAGGCGCTGCGGTCTCCAGCCCTCCTCCTCCTCCTCCTCCTTTTCCTCCCGCCTCCCGTCGCCCGCTTCCGTCTTGTCTCCTCTTGCCTTGCGCGTACCTCGTGTGTGTGTGTGTTGCGCATCCTGGCTGCGGTGCCTCTTGTGTGTGCATCTTGCCAAGGGGTTGCGATCTGTGACACTGTCGCCAGTTTCGAGGGCTGCTGGCGGGTCCAGCGGAGTGAGGCACCGCGGGGACCTGAGCGAAACCTCGCCGTCCCTGGGGGGCTGCGATCTGCGACGCTGTCGCCGCTTTCGAGGGCTGCTGGCGGGTCCTGCGGACTGAGGCACCGCGGGGACCTGAGCGAGACCTCGCCGTCCCAGGGGGGCTGCGATCTGCGACGCTGTCGCCGCTTTCGAGGGCTGCTGGTGGGTCCAGCGGAGCGAAGCACCGTGAGGGCCCGAGCGAAACCTCGCCGTCCCTGGGGGGGGGGCCTGCGATCTGCGACACTGTCGCCACTTTCGAGGGCTGCTGGTGGGTCCAGCGGAGTGAGGCATCGCGGGGACCTGAGCGAGACTTCGCCGTCCCTGGGGGGGCTGCGATCTGCGACGCTATCGCCACTTTCGTGGGTTGCTGGTGGGTCCTGCGGACTGAGGCACCGCGGGGACCTGAGCAAGACCTCGCCGTCATTTCAGGCCCGCGCGCCAACATCATTTCTGGGCCCCAGACTTCAGGCTGGGCCCCGATGCAGGATCCTCGGATCCCAAGGGTTACGCAGGCAGGCCTACGTTGGGGAGGAGGAGGAGGAGGAGGAGGAGGAGGAGGAGGGGGAGGTGGGGATAGATCGCTCCAGCGCGGTCCAGAACGCTCCCAGACTGTGCCGGAGCGCCCCACGCGGCCGCGGCGCCCGCTGAGTCCTCCAGACCTGCTGGCTCTTGCCATCATCCTGCCTTCGTCTTATCCCCTTCTCCTCCTGAGATCGTTCTCCTCCTGATATCGTTCCCTTCCTGAGATCGTTACCCCCCCCCACCCCCCCACCCCACGTCACGGTGACGCGGGGAAATTGGCTACAGGCGTGAACGCGTGCAGTTTCCCATAGAGGAGGTGGAGGAGGAGGAGGAGCAGCAGCACCAGGAGCAGCAGCAGCAGCAGCAGGAGGCAGAGGAGGAGGAGGAGGAAGAGGAGGGAGGAGGAGCTGAGGAGCTTTGTAGGAGGTGAGGAGGGGGAGGAAGGGAAATGAAAGGTCCCGAAGGGGGGTGCACAGCACCAAACTAGTGCCAACACGGACCACAGGCGCACAGCGCCATGACGCACAGCGTCAGATGGGGCCGTGAACCATTGGGAAAACAAGCACAAAGAGGGACCGTCCACTCTCAAGATGGCAGTATAAAACCTAGGCTGCTGCCTGTGCTTGGCTGGCGCCGGGCCCCGAGACAGACAAGGCCGCAGCAAGCAAACAACTAGGCATTACACTATTCACAGCGGGGTAACAGAGGGCTCGAACCTCTGCCCAGCAAGTTTCCTCCTTCGACCTGACCAGGCAAGCTGGAAGCTGGGACTCCGAAAGAAACAGTGCCGGTAGCCCTTAGCCTGCACCCCGCGTCGCTTCTGCCATTGAGTCCGCGGCGAAGAGCGCTCCGACCAAAGTGGTTGAAGGCTGTATGCCGCGGGCCCCGCCTCCGTAGCGTCATCGGCGGTGTACCTCAGAGATCAACGAAAATGGACCCCGTACTAAGGTGCTGCTGGGACCAGGCGAACCTTCCCAGGAACACCTCAGCACCTCACGTTGCCATTCCATCACCCCGAAAAGGGGGAGAGGAACGGACAACGGTGGCGGACGGACCACTGTCGCCAACATCAACCTGGAAATGCCACGGGGAGGAAGCGAAGGACACAACCACCAGGGTTCAAACGGCTCAAACCTGGCTACGAGGACCCAGGAGGGGTTGGAAGCGGGGGAGGGGAGGGAAGGCCACTCTCCGGCCTAGGGTGCGCACAACGTCCACTCCTGGGCTTTTCAACCCTGGGGCCGTGCCGCCTTCCCTCTCAAAGGGGCCCGAAAAGGAGGGGGCGGAGGGTCCTCGTTGCGCATGCCATGACAGCGATCGCCCCCAGGAGGGGAAGGGGAGGGGGGGAGGGGGGGGACATGCCTCAGCCCACATGGGATCATCGGTAGTACATTCAGGAGGTGCCACACGGCGCCCAGGCTGCACCGCTTGGCCGCGGTGGCAGGGAGTTTTAAATGAAAGAGCGTGTTCTACCGCTACTGTCGGAAAACCGGGGGGGGGTCACTGGGGGTTCCTAATCCGTCCCCCCCCCCTCGAAAACTGGAGGGGGGGTCACTACCGGTTCGAACCCCCCCCCCCCAGTCCATCATGAAAAGGGGGGGGGTCACTACCGGTTCGAACCCCCCCCCCTTCGAAAACCGGGGAGGGTCACTACCGGTTCGAACTCCCCCCCCTTGAAAACTGGGGGGGTTAACTACCGCTTCGAACCCCCCCCCTCGGCCGCCGGCAAACGATGCCCACTGCTCGGGACAGTTGGAGAATGGTGGGGATGTTGGGACAGTGGTGGGAACGGTGGTGATGGGGACAGTGGTGCGGACAGTGGTGGGGACAGTGGTGGTGGGGACAGTGGTGGTGGGGACAGTGGTGAGGGGACAGCGGGACAGTGGTGGGGACAGTGGGGACACTGGTGGGGACGGTAGTGGTGGGGACAGTGGTGGTGGCGGTGGTGAGGACAGTGGTGGGACAGTAGTACAGTGGGGAAAGTGGTGGGGACAGCGGGGACAGTGGGACAGTGATGGGGACAGTGGGGACGGTGGGACAGCACAGTGGGACAGCGGCGGGGACAGTGGGACAGTGGTGGGAACAGCGGGGACAGTGGGACAGTGGTGGGGACCGTGGGGAAAGTGGGGAGAGTGGGACCGTGGTGGGACAATGGCGGGGAGAGTGGGGACAGTGAGACACTTGTGGGGGCACTGGTGGGGACAGCGGGGACAATGGTGGGAACAGTGGGGACAGTGGGACAGTGGTGGTGACGGTGGTGGTGGGGACAGTGGTGTGGGGACAGTGGTAATGTGGTGGAAACAGTGTGACAGCGGAGGGTGCAGTGGTGGGGCGGTGGCGAGGACGGCGGTGGGATAGTTGGATAGAGGTATAGTAGGGACAGTGGTGGGGACAGTGCGGACAGTGGTGGGAAGAGTGGTGGGACAGCTCAGAGGGGCAGCGGCGGGGACAGTGGGACAGTGGGACAGTGGGGACAGTGGGACAGTGGTTGGGGCCGTGGAGAAAGTGGGGGGGAGGGGGGGCGTTCAGCAGGGGGGGATTTTCCGAGGGGGGGGGGAACCCCCGTGCTCCGGAGGAAGAGGGGGGGGATTTTCCATAGTAAAGCGGCGGTGAAGCACGCTCTCTCTTTTAAAAATTCCCTAGAAGGGGGAGGCGGAGGAGGAGGAGGAGGAGGAGGAGGAGGAGGAGGAGGAGGAGGAGGGGCAGGAGGAGGAGGAAGGAGGAGGTGGTGGAGGAGTAGGAGGCGAAGGAGGGGGAAAAGGAGGGGGTGAAGGAGGGGGAGGACGAGGAGGACGAAGACGATGACGACCGACGTGGTCTGGAGGTCCCGAGAGGTGCACGCAGACACGTGGGCCTCGTGAGGCACGCG